TACTACGGTTGCCCGCCCTTTGTCTGCTGGAACAATGACAATTTCTTCGTCCCTCTTTAGTTCCTTGATGGCCTTTACCTCATCCACCTCTTCCATATATATATATATATATATATATATCAACATGAGTAAAGATTCGAGGTCCTGATTAATTATCCCTTTCATCATCCCCAAAAGAAGACGAAGAAGCAATCGTCCCTTTTTCTTCGTCGTCTTCTTTTGGGGATGATGAACGGGATATATATATATATATATATATATATATATCAGCGAGGAGGGACGACAGAGAATGCGGGTAGATTGATACAGCACTGTTTCGGGCTTATTCTGCCTTCATTCAGCCAATCATAACCCTGACCACCAGCAGCTGAGACCAGAAACACAAACATGCGCACAGACGCACCTGGCGCAGTCGGTCCACCACTGAGGCCTACCAGATGGGTCATAAGCACTTCATCGAACCGAAGTTCATCAGTGCCTCACCACCTGTCATTCTCTGTCGCTGCAGATCGGGTATTTATCAATCAGGAATGGGCGCACACCGATCTATTGGCTTCACAAAGCAAACAAGCTCCGTATGTGTGGCAAAGGTCACGAACAGGCAACCAATTACCAGGCCGAAGTCGGCCAAGCTATTATAGCATATGATATAACATATATATATATATATATATAATGTTAGGGGGCGCTCACCGATCGTTCATGCGGAACTCACTCGTTCCGTTGTGCCTTATGGACTCTCTCTCGAGCCCAACCAGCAGCCGCACAGCGGCGCATGATATATAGGCAGAATAGTATTACCGACAAAGACAAGGGAGACTGGAATGGCCATTTCTGGCTTATTAGCCGTCGTCAGCCAGCCATACCCAAGCCCGAAGTGTGGAACACCCGAGCCTCGAACTCGCGACCTGTTGGTTTAGAAGTCAACGCCTCTACTCACCGGGCCACGAGCCCGTATATTCCCGATCGAAAACCGACAAGGCAACGGGCTCGTGGCCCGGTGAGTAGAGGCGTTGACTTCTAAACCAACAGGTCGCGAGTTCGAGGCTCGGGTGTTCCACACTTCGGGCTTGGGTATGGCTGGCTGACGACGACTAATATATATATATATATATATATATGAGTATGCAAGGCGTTGGTTTAGCACCACAGAGCTGTTCTGTTCAGACAAGCGATAGTGTACAAGCAAATATGCATCGAGTCTTTGCTTGAACGTCTTCGTGGTATCCGCCATTATTACGTCCTCGGGAAGCCCGTTCCAGGCACCGACGACTCGCTGTGAAAAACAGTATTTGCGAACGTCCAGGCGGCATTGGGATCCTCTAAGTTTTAGAGAGTTTCCACGCAGGTTTGTTGTTGTGGCCAGGGTGAAGAAATCGTCGGGGTTTAGGGCACATTCCCGGTTCCTCAATATCCGATAGGCCTGTATGAGATCTCCTCGAACCTGCCTGTACTCAAGAGGAAAACGTTTAAGTTCCCTAAGTCGGCAGTTGTAAGGTAAAGTCCTGAGGCCTTTTACAATTTTTGTTGCTCTCCTCCGAACTCTTTCTAGCAACTTATTGTCTTTTTTTAGCCACGGGCGCCACGCTTGGATTCCATATTCCAGATGCGAGCGAATGAACGCTCCGTATACTTTTCCAAATCACTCTTTGTCTATGTCCACGAAAGATCGTTTAATGGCAAAGAGAACACTAGTTGCTCTTTTGGACGCCCTAAGACACTGAGATGAAGGCTTAAGGGTCGACAGAATGTTAACCCCAAGATCTTTTTGTTCTGTTACATTTGAAAGGTACCTTTCACCAATTTGATAATGGTGATCCTCTCCGTCAGATCTTCCAGTCGTTTTGAGTCGCAGCGCGACGCACTTCTCTAGGTTAAACTTTAGCAGCTATTTGTCAGACCATTCGCATAGGCGGTTCAGTTCTTCTTGCAGGGCCCGTTCATCATGTTCGCCGTTGATCGCTCGCCATAACTTGATGTCATCAGCAAATATGACTCCATTGCAGTCCAGTCCATTCATACAGTCGTTGACATAAATTAAAAATAGTACTGGTCCGAGTACGGAGCCCTGCGGAACTCCACTCACAACTGGCACTGGTGTTGACTTCGCACTACCAATACAAACAGATTGTGATCGACCGGTCAGAAAGTCCTTTACCCAGTTTAATAGGTTTTCCCTTATCCCTGACTCTCGGACCTTGTAAAGTAACCGGTGGTGTGGAACACTATCAAAGGCTTTCTTGAAATCTATGTAAACGATATCGACCTTTGTTCCTGCGTCTAACGAGCGAGACCACTGTTCCGCTGAATGAAGCATATTAGTTAGGCAGGAGTGATTTCGTCGAAAACCATGCTGAGAACTAGCAAAGAAATTATTTTCTTCAAGGAACTTCATTATGGATTTTTTGACTATTCTCTCCATGACTTTGCAACAAATGCACGTTAGGCTCACCGGCCGATAATTGTTTGTACTTGTTCTGGATCCGCCCTTGTGAATGGGGTATATGTTCGCCACTTTACAATCAGAGGGGAGAATGCCTCGGTCAAAGGAGGACCTAAAGATGTGTCAAAGCGGTTTGGCGAGTTCGCAAGACAACTCCTTCAGCACTTTTGCCGGAATTTGGTCTGGGCCCGGAGACTTGCCCTCCTTAAGCGCTAGAAGTTCCTTCCTCACATCTTCTTCCGTGAAGTCGATGTTTTCTATTGTTTCGTCGGTCGTCCCAGCAGGAGATCTAGCCTCGTCAAAGTCCGTTTCATCGGTGAAAACCGATACGAAATACCGGCTTAGATTTTCTGCCTTAGCGTCATTTTCGATGATATCCTCATTGTTTTCTCCTATCAACACTGCAACCGTCTCCTTGTTCTTTAACCTACTGTTTATGTAACCGAAGAGCACTTTTGGCTTATATATATCAATCAGGAATGGGCGCACAACGATCTATTGGCTTCACGACGCAAACAAGCACCGTAAGTGTGGCAAAGGTCACGAACAGGCAACCAATTACCAGGCCGAAGTCGGCCAAGTCATAATAGCAGCAAGGAGGGACGACAGAGAATATATATATATATATATATATATTGAAAATAAGTAAGATTCTTTGGGAAGGGAATAAACTTTAATGAGTAAATTTTCGAGTCTGGTTCCCCAGCTCGTCGTCAGACTTTTGGGCAATGTACAAAAACAGTTAATTATTTAA